CCTCAATGTAAAAAAACAAAAATTCTCACCTCTGGACCAATAAATAACATCATAATAAATGGAGAAAAAATTGAAGTTGTCAAAGACTTCACTTTGGTTGAATCCACCATCAACACTCATGGAAACAGCAGTCAAGAAATCAAACAACATATTGCATTAAGCAAATCTGCTGCACGCGACCTCTTTAAAGTGCTCAAGAGCAAAGATGTCAGTTTGAAGTCTAAGATGCACCTGAACCAAGTCATGGTATTTTCAAGAGTCTTATATGAATGTGAAAGTTGGACTGTGAATAAGGAAGACCATAGAAAAATTGATGTATTTGAGTTATGGTGTTGAAGAAGTTATATTAAAGGTATCATTAACTGCCAGAAAAATAAACATATCTGTGTTGGGGGAAGTATAACCAGAATGCTCCTTGAGAAGCCAAGATGGCCAGACTTCATCTCTCATACTTCGAACATATTATCAGGAGGGACTAGTTCTTGGAGAAGGACATCATGCTTGGTAAAGTGGAGGGTCAGCGAAACATAGGGAGAACCACAATGTGATTGATTTGAAGAGTGGCAGGAGCAATGGGCTCCAGTGTAGCAGCAATCGTGAGGACCAGGCGGTGTTTCGATCTGTTGTACAAAGGGTCACTATGGGTCACAACCGACTTCATGGCACCTAACAACAACAACAATAACATATTTTTCATGCGCTTACTGGCCGTTTGTATATTTTCTTTGGTGAAATGTCTATTCATGTTGGATATTGAAGACTAAAATAAATATTAACTAAATAATAAATAAATATTCTGGATAGTAACTCTTTATCAGAAATGTGATTCTGTAAAAAATGTCCTTCAATTTTGAAGTCATCTATTCATTTTGTCGATGAAATTCTTTGATCAACCAAAACTTTTTAATTTTTATGAAGTCCAGTTTATTTATTTTATCTTTTATGGCTTTCAGTGTCATATCTTAGAATCCCTTCTTAAAACAAAATTATTAAATATTTTCCTTATGTTTTCTTTTAAGTGTTTTATGGTTTTAGTTCTTATGGTTATACACATGGTCCATTTTTAGTTAATTTTCATACATGATGTCAACTATGGATCCAGCATCATTATTTTCCAAGTGGAAATACAGATATCCAGCATCATTTATTAAGGAGACTATACTTTTCCCATCAAACGGACTTCATACTCTTGCCATTCATTAGCTCTAGTAGCCTCTGCCTTGGGCTCTGGTCATTTTCATAGTCAGCATGACAAGAAGCATAGTGTCAAATATTCAGACTGGAATAAACATGAGGAATCAGTTTCAAGGTGCCTTCTCATCCAGTTTCAACATCAACATGACCAAGAAGAGTGAGGTGAAAAGCCAGCTGAGTAGTACTCTCGGGGCCAAGGACATTCTCATTTAAACAGTTTAAAGAGGCTTGTTGCAGAGTCGAAAAAATGGAAATATACCCTCACAGAGCCACAGGTTGGAGAGCAGGGAGGGGCGCCAAGATCAGGAAATTCACCAGTTCAGATCCTTCTCCTTTTCCACACTTTCCCCACATTAAATCCAGAACCCATCTCATCATATAATTTAGAAAAGACTCAGTTCTGCCTCTCCAAATGACCATAGCAGAAGCTCTTCCACTACAATATTGAATAACATTTTTGAATCAACTATTGAAAGCAGGCATCCTTGTCTTGTTCTCGAAGAGGAAATCTCTCAATGTTTCTTCATTGAGTATGATACTTAGTTGTTTTCATAAATACCCTTTATCCCCTGAGGTATTTCCCTTCTATTTCTTTGTTGGTGTTATGGATTGAATTGTGTTCCTCAAAATATGTGTTGTCAGTCCTACAATAACAGCAATCTACATATAGACACATGGATGGGTACACAGGTTGAATGGGTATGGGAGGGAGAATGGGATTATACCCACAAATATAGACAAACGTTTGACAGAGGATGTTTGTACATGGGTATTTTTACCTTTGCTGCAAATATATCCATGAATGTGGTAGAACATTCAGGGGGCAATATTATGAAAACTCACTGTTGTTAAGTGCCATGGAGTCAGTTCCAACTCATAGTGACCCTGCACAGGGTTTCAGATGTTATAAATCTTCATGAGAGCAGACAGCCTCATCTCTCTCCTGAGGAGCAAGATTTACTGATATAACCAAGAATTCAAATCCAGAAAATTTATAGGAATTTTCAGAGTGACAAATACCTTTGATTCCCATTCACTCTGTTTAATGCCACAAAATTACTAAATATAATTGGCTCCTGGAATGGTGATATATATGATAAGCACTGGACGCTGATTACAAAGTTGGTGGTTTAAACCCATCAGCAGCCCCTTGGAAATGCTATAGGGGGTGGCTATGAGTCAGAACCAATTTAATGGCACTTAACAATAATAATGTATATTTTAAACATCAGATTTTCCATGGAACATGTGGTTGTGGTTAAGTACTGTCGAGTTGTTTCCAACTCATAGCGACCCTGTATAGGGTTTCTGAGGAGCAGCTGGTAGGTTTGAACTTCCGATCTTGTGGTTCACAGCCAAGCGGTGATCTTACAATGCCACACAAGAAATCCATGGAATAGGAAGAAGTAAATTACATGTTATTTTTCTCTTTAATAATTACCCAATGTTAAAAAATCCAGAGGCTCAAAAACAGGCTCTCGTCTCGGTCAAATAGTTTAAACCTCTTCAGACCTTGATTCCTTAATATAAAAGTGAGAGGGGCCAAGATTCTCTAAAATATTTCCTAATTCCAAAACTGTATGACTCCTTAATTCTACTGAGGCTAGAATCTTATTAAATCTCGACCAGTCCTGTCCCTTAAAATAAAAATGTCTTGGGTGTGACTGCCATTGTGATGTGCAAATGTTCCAAAATTATATCTTTCTTATGCATGGTTATATTGTGTGATGTTAAACACCTGCGGTATTCTAGCGTGGCTGTAGCCGGTCTGTTCTGGTTGAAATGACTCCTATGTGTGTACTGAGACACAAGGCTAATGCATGATTCAGCCGCTTTATAAATCAAAGATTCTATTACAGGCAGAAAATAACCCAACAATAGCTAGTCTATTACACTTCAACGGCATTAGAGGAGAAGAGAATACATCAAGTGGAGAACATAGGTCCTCCCTTTTTATTCTGCAATACAATAAAATGGCTTTGCAGATTTTTAGTAGTTTCTTTTGTCCAGTAGTTAGTGCATTCACATCTATGAAACTTTGTTTTTATTGTTGTTGTTGTTGTTAAGTGCCTTCAAGTCGGTTCCGACCCATAGTGACCCTGTACAGGGTTTCTGAGGCTGCAAATCTTTACGGGAGCAGAAAGCCTCATCTTTCTCCCGCGGAACGGTTGGTAGTTTCGAACTGCTGGCCTTAAGGTTTGCAGCCCGATTCGTAACCACTACGCTAGAATACCAATACTCCTGCAATTTTTTTTTTCTCTATTTCAGAGTTGATGGCTAACAAGCATAGATAGCTGCACCAAATCTAAATTAAAATAAGAGTAATCAATATATATGCCTTTTTGGAAATTTGTATATAAAATATGTTGATTTGATAAAATTTTGTATTGGTATAGAATTTTAGTTGCAAAATTCTCCTAAAGGAATTATTATTGTATAATACAGTGGCTCCACATGATAAGCACTGGACTGCAAAACACAGACACAGTAGTTCGAGCCCACGAGCCACTCTATAGGAGAAAGATGAATTTGTCTGCACCTTCAAAGATTTAAAGCCAGGAACGCTATGAGTCGGAATCGATTTAAGGGCACTTGCCACCGCCACCACCAC